TACAGAGAGACAGTTGTCGAGCTCTAACCAACTGAGCTACAGAGAGACAGCTGTCGAGCTCTAACCAACTGAGCTACAGAGAGACAGTTGTCGAGCTCTAACCAACTGAACTACAGAGAGACAGTTGTCAAGCTCTAACCAACTGAGCTACAGAGAGAGACAGTTGTCGAGCTCTAACCAACTGAGCTACAGAGAGACAGTTGTCGAGCTCTAACCAACTGAGCTACAGAGAGACAGTTGTCGAGCCCCAACCAACTGAGCTACAGAGAGACAGTTGTCGAGCTCTAACCAACTGAGCTACAGAGAGACAGTTGTCGAGCTCTAACCAACTGAGCTACAGAGAGACAGCTGTCGAGCTCTAACCAACTGAGCTACAGAGAGACAGCTGTCAAGCTCTAACCAACTGAGCTACAGAGAGACAGTTATCAAGCTCTAACCAACTGAGCTACAGAGAGACAGCTGTCGAGCTCTAACCAACTGAGCTACAGAGAGACAGCTGTCGAGCTCTAACCAACTGAGCTACAGAGAGACAGCTGTCGAGCTCTAACCAACTGAGCTCAGAGAGACAGTTGTCGAGCTCTAACCAACTGAGCTACAGAGAGACAGTTGTCGAGCTCTAACCAACTGAGCTACGGAGAGACAGCTGTCGAGCTCTAACCAACTGAGCTACAGAGAGACAGCTGTCGAGCTCTAACCAACTGAGCTACAGAGAGACAGCTGTCGAGCTCTAACCAACTGAGCTACAGAGAGACAGTTGTCGAGCTCTAACCAACTGAGCTACAGAGAGACAGTTGTCGAGCTCTAACCAACTGAGCTACAGAGAGACAGTTGTCGAGCTCTAACCAACTGAGCTACAGAGAGACAGTTGTCGAGCTCTAACCAACTGAGCTACAGAGAGACAGTTGTCGAGCTCTAACCAACTGAGCTACAGAGAGACAGTTGTCGAGCTCTAACCAACTGAGCTACAGAGAGACAGTTGTCGAGCTCTAACCAACTGAGCTACAGAGAGACAGTTGTCGAGCTCTAACCAACTGAGCTACAGAGAGACAGTTGTCGAGCTCTAACCAACTGAGCTACAGAGAGACAGTTGTCGAGCTCCAACCAACTGAGCTACAGAGAGACAGTTGTCGAGCTCTAACCAACTGAGCTACAGAGAGACAGTTGTCGAGCTCTAACCAACTGAGCTACAGAGAGACAGTTGTCGAGCTCTAACCAACTGAGCTACAGAGAGACAGGTCGAGCTCTAACCAACTGAGCTACAGAGAGACAGTGGTCGAGCTCTAACCAACTGAGCTACAGAGAGACAGTTGTCGAGCTCTAATCACAAATTCATGTATATATACTAGGGCACTGCCATGATTAGGTTATGGGTAAATATCAAGATTTTGTTGGCAACTCACTCGATTGAATAATAGTTGAAGGTTATTGTAGATGGAAATTATCCAGTGGAAATTTATATATATTTATTAAAGTATGGTGCTTTATAGAGATTTAAAAAACTCATTAATAATTCAGGAGCAAAACACAAAGAAAAATCATAAGCGTGTCGTGGTTATATATGTGATATAAAATCATGTTAATTTACATAAACTTTAGCTTTGATTTTCTCGGTTTAGACAAAGTTTATTTTAAAAATTACTTCGCCAATCAACTCGTATAAGCTGAGTCGTTTTTTAAGCCATTTAAAGCACTTGTAGTCGTGTTTTATCACATATAAAACACTCCGCTACGCGTCGTGTTTTATATGTGATAAAACACTCCTACGCGTGCTTTAAATAGTACTTCGAGCACTGATAAGCTTCGAGCGCTTTTCAATTATCGCTTTTCTGTAAAAATTATCGCTTTTCAACGACTGTCCTTTATATAATAAACAGAAAAATACAAGGGTGCTTGGAAATACCAGATTTATTTCTCGTGTTGAACATGATATCTCACTCGTTTGCTGCGCTCACCCGTGAGATATCATGTTCAACACTCGAAATAAATCTGGTATTTCCGCGCACCCATGTATTATTCTCTATGTACATACCATATTGGTGACGTCGGGTGATCCACCATTTTGAAGTAACATCACAACAACGGAGACATTGCCATAATATGCAGCCACGTGCATTGGCGTTTGACCACCCTAGAAACATTGAATAAAAAAATGTGTGCGTGAGGGCTTGTTCATTTGAGACGGGTGCACGCGTGAAAACACGCAAGTTGTTACAGATCTAGATCTGAGATCTGTAAATGCATTCGCACAGCTTGTTCCCAATAGTTGTGACAAGTATGGAACAAGTAGTTCAAAATTCCGCATTTCCGCAATGCGATTTTCCGCTGATGTGCATCCGCAAACCGCGTTAAAAGATACGCATCAAATGACACAAAATACAATTTTTGACCTTGAGGATTTAGTCGTGAATTTAATTCAGTGAAATTGCCCGGCGTTCGTTAAACATAAATTGTAAATAAAATATTACATAAAATTCAAATTCTTTTATTATCAAGCATTATGTTCTCATGCGGGGAATTTTAAATCTGCTGTAATGACGTAATTTTTTGGGAACTCCTAACAACATGAGATGACGTAATCTTACAAAATCTACATAGGCATCAAATTACGCAAAATATTCTATTTTCGTTGAGACGTGACCCAACAAGTTCCTTTTCAACCTTCGCTGAATATTGCTTTGAAAAAGTCATGTCTTCTATAATTACGGGAATTTTAAGATCAACCGTGGGTTTATTGTGCGACAAAGCTCGTGATAGTGCTACAAATAAACTCAAGGACGGAGATTTAGCGGATGAAAAATTGCGTGAAATAATTGTTAAGGATTTGACCGACATCAAGTCGAAACTCGACTGTCTGTCGCTTAAAGATCTCGATAGCAGTTACAGTTTTCTAAAAGAAGGCGTAAGATTGTTAAATTATGCCTTGGATGAGTCGAATGAATATCAGAAAGCGAGCGAGGGTCCAGCAGACGAAGCAACAAGAGTTATGAATGATACCGCATCTGGTATTTTGAACGCAGCCTTATCACTTCCTCAAGCGATTCAACGATTAAAAATCTCGTCCGATAAACGGTTCGTTTCTGCTCAAGATTGTTTCAAAGCATCTCGCGAGGCAGCCACACATGCTTTCAACAACAAATCTCTGAGCATCAAAGATCGAATTATGGCTTCCAAGTTACGTGTGGCAGCCAGAATTCTTGAATCAGGTCTTGAAGACCCGGGAGCCGCAATTACTGCCTGCCTGTTGTCACTTGAAGAGCTACATGCTTTACCAGCAATCCAAGAAATGTTCGCAGTTTTTCTCAAGGGAGGACTGAAATCAATGCTGAAGAAAACTGAACGGTTAGAAAGCATAATGTCTGTTTTATTCATCAATCATGCTTTATATGATTTCGCTTTCAAGTATAGCAGTAAATCTCCCAACCCATTTACCTGGCCTGGAATAGAGTTGAAGGATCGTACATTTCATCCAATCCTAAACGCACATGAGATTGTGAGAAAGACGTCCAGTAGTGAAGAATTTGTCCAGCAACTGAACCGAATGGTTGTTGATTCGAGAATATTGTGCACTGGGTTTGCTGTGAATAGCCGTGGTGAAATTATTGTACTAGATGATGACAAAATCACGCTTATTTACAGCACAGGTGAAAGCAAGGTTGTTATGCTTCCCAAACCCACAGAAAGTAACGATATTAGAAGATGTGAGATGGATGTTGATGTTGATAGCAATGACAATGTGTATGCTGTACAACGGCATGCGACATATGATAAAAATGGCAGTAGAAAGGAACATTTTGTGTTGTACGTTTTTGACGAGAATTATAACATCAAACATGTCTCCGTATTGGATTTCCTTGATGGAAAAAAATATAGATATGTGAACATTGCTGTTGACAAAAACCAAAACCTAGTCATGCTCACAGATAGGAATGACCAGGTATATATCTGTGAAACCACAGGAAAGTTGAAATTTCAGTTTAAACGAAATGGATATTACCTACGCAGCTTGAGAATTTCTAACAACAATGACATCATGATAGTATCAGATGATGGCAGCGCTGTTCAAATATACTCAACAGAAGGTAACTTAAAATCCACAATAAAAGTACCAGAAGGTCATGAAGCCCAGCTGGTGGCATTTCATCATGGCATTTGTAAAATAATTGTTTTAACCTATGTTGAGAAACAAAATTCCTCGTTCTTGCTTGGTTACTCTGAAACATGTGAACTGGAGAATTCAGTGTTTTTCCCCAACAGATATGGTTGGAGAACGAAAATGAAAAGTCTTCCAAGCAGACCAGTTGCTGTTAAAGTGTGGGACACCATCACCTTTATTTAAGTATATCAACTTTTTAGCTTCTCTGCTTGGAACCGAATCATTTAATCGAAAACCAGGGTCTTGACAGCACGGACTAACCCCGCAAAGCGATGTTCAAAAACAAAACAGACGATCTTGAAAAGTTGACAATCTTCTGTTCTGATAGATATCATGAACTGGGATTTTGTTAATTTAACAATTAAACATATATCTTAATATAGAACCACTAGTGATTCAAGTCAATATTAGACAAGTAATGTATCGAATTTATTAACATATACTTCAACTTATAATATCATTTTAGCACAGTATCACCTTTTGATGGATGTGTTTTAATAGTCATGCATGAGCATGCGCACAATGTAGAATCTTGAACAAAAATGAATTCAAAGTTTGTGGAAAATTTGTTTATAAGAGTGCAGTTTTTAGAAACATGTTTTGTTTAAATATCTTCAAAACAATGAAGGGCCCAGGTTTAAAGCCTTGTGGAACACCACATTGAAACGTTTATACATTTGTCATCGGACATGTTTTTTCAAGGAAAGAATTTTAAGTCAATCACGACTAGCCAGAAAAAAATTTCATAAAAAAGACAAGCTCAAACATATTTCTCCCATTGCAGAAATTTATGTCGTGTTTTTCCCACTACAGTCTGTAGATTTCATATTATTCTGACACTACAATCGAGCAACGAAAAATTCGTTGGCTCGAGCGGGATTTGAACTCGCATGTTCGGGTATCTAGACGCCGCTCTACCCATTGAACTATCGAGCCAAGGAATTTTTCGTTGCTCGATTGCAGTGTCAGAATAATATGAAACTGGTTTTTCGTATCTCTGCAATCTCGTACCCAGAGCCCTTCTTACGCGCGTTCGACCGAGCGCGACGAGGGGCTCTGGCCAAATCCATAACCGGATACCATAAAAACATGGTAAGAAAACAATATCCGATATTAAAACTAGCCAATCAGATGCCAGTTCGGATATGGATTTGGCCAGAGCCCCTCGTTGCGCTCGGTCGAACACGCGTAAGAAGGGCTCTGGGTACGAGAATGGTATCTCAAAAGGATGGTTCTAAAATAGAATTGAAACACTGCGCGTCCTCTAAGACAAGCGTTAAGTCGTCATGAAAATATTTCGTGCACTTAAATTGGATAAGACTCGCTACCAATCCTCGTTGAATCGATAGTTCAATGGGTAGAGCGTCGGTCTAGATACCCGAAGATGCGAGTTTAAATCCCGCTCGAGCCAACGAATTTTTCGTTGCTCGATTGCAGTGTCAGAATAATATGAAACTGGTTTTTTGTATCTCTGAGGATGGTTCTGAAACGGTCTGTAGAAATAGGCATTTAGATATTTGCAGAATGATTGACATATTGACCTGGTACTTTACTAAACGGTCAATCAAAATTGACCAGATACAGTTTAATAGTACACTTTTATGCCGGCGATTTTGGCAAAAAAATACCTGGCTTCTATATTGTACGAGAAAAAGTTGCCTCGTTTATAAACATGGCCTATAAACATGATATTTTTTGTGTGTGTTGACGTTATGTACTCAGGTGAAAATGATGTTTCTGATGTTACTCTGAGAGTAAGTGTGTATCCACACCGGGCTGGCTGAAAAGTTCGTCTGACCACGATGGGAATCAAACCCGCGACCTTTGCCCATTGGGATACTAGTCCAATGCTCCGCCAACTGAGCTACGAGGTCAAGTCTGTTCGAGTATGTGATATTTCGGAACTGAGTCTAGTTCATTCGATAGCATTAATGTGTTCTTATGATCATGATATTTTTTGTGTGTGTGTTCGATGTTATATACTCAGGTGAATATGATGTTTCTGATGTTACTCTGAGTGTGCATCCACACCGGGGAGGATGGAAAGTTTGCCTGATCACATTGGACTAGTACCCCAAAGGTTGCGGGTTCGATTCCGACCGTGGTCAGGCAAACTTTTCAGCCAGCCCGGCGTAGATACACACTCAGACTAACATCAGAACATCATGGCGTATAAAATTTCATTCTTAAAAACCTTTGCCCCCCAAAAGTTCTAAATTCTGACATTATAAACTAATTCTCGCAATCCTAACTCCACACTCTAATCGTCAACCCTAATCTTTGTGTACTCACTATCGAAATCCAGCAAGAGTCTGCTTAAAGACTACAATAACAGTCATAACAGTCCTGTGGTTATTATTGAGATCTTTGATACAATTCCTGCATCCTTTCCTGTCAATTCAGTCATTGTATCAGAACCGCAGGGAATCTAAAATCTCATGCTTTGACTTAAATTGGATCTAACCTTATTTAAATAAAACCATTCAACCAACTGCATTCTTTAAATACCCGAAACTATTAACGTTTTCGTATTTTGCCTTTTTCCAGAAATCATTTCTTATATCATCGACCATGCACTAACATTTTCTAGTTGCCAAATTAAACTTAACTGGCATAAACCAACACAGTT